TCACGCTGAGCCTGGTTCTGCTGGAGGTTTCTTCCTGTTAAAAGGGAGTTTTTCCTCTCCACTGTCGCTACAAGCATGCTTAGTGTGAGGGATTGTATTTGAGTCAATGAGTCAATGCAATCAACTGGTTTTCCTTAGACAGAAAACTTTGTATCAATTTGACTGTATGATCTGGTTGAACTGTAAAGTGCCTTGAGATGACATGTGTTGTGAATTTGGCGCTATATAAATAAACTGAGTTGAAAATTGAATTGAATTGATCTGATTATCTTTTTTTTATTCAAACATTTACAAACATTTTGCCTTATGTACAGTTTATCTAATTAGAACGACACAGCACATCTTTTAATCTTCTTATCATCTGGCTGAATAATCTAACCCAAATTATTTCTTCTATTACTAACTGATTTCTACAGGGAATTACAATTGTTTTCCCAAAACCAATTACCAAACATTCACATACTTACTGGAACTTTAAGCTGACACAGATGTTTGGTCAGACAGGAATAAAATATTTCTATTTTTATCGCAGTTTCAGGAACTACAAAAAAAATAAAACAGATTAGTGTGTCCCTCCATTCATCTTTCAGTTTCTGTACTTTAGCCCCAGGCTTATTGGTTTAGATGTTCTTTTAGGAACAAGGAAATTGTTTCATCTCACTGTGTCAGACAAATCAGTCAAGTTTTTAGGCTGGGCAGATCTAAAGGTCGCATTCAAAGGTCTGAACCCAGGCAATCAGTTTTATTGCATGTTGGTGAATTTCATCTAGATGGAAAGATGAGCAATTCAAGGGGCTGGGATTTTAGTGGATAGTCGTAATGATTGATGCTACCCTCAGCTGGGCAGTTAGTGCAACTATCTGTATCGAGGGTATTGAAATGATGACTTAAGGAGTTTTTCTCATATTGAATCTGTCGTGAGTCGTGGATCATAAAACCTGAAGCCGTCAACAAAAAAGTTATGTGTGAATTAGCAACATTTCCATCATTTGGAAGGAAAGTGGAAGGAAAATAAACATTTCCTTTTTTTCCTACAGAAAAAATATCTATATAGCTCAGTGTGCTTCTCTATACACCCTCCTTTGTCGCTTGTTTGGATGTGTGTCATTTGCTGCAACTACAACACTCTTAAATTACCTCTTTTCTAACATCTTGCATCTGGAAACATGTGATTAGGAAAGGTATTTATAATCAGATTTATGAATTTCATTTCTTTAGATCTCCATTTAGAAACAGGATCTAAAAATACATTTTTAAATTCCAGTATTTAATAATGGATTAATAATTACAATTTACAATTCCTTTAATAATCAAGTCAGAATGCATTTATGCATTCTCAATTATTGTGATTTCTGTTTCTCTTTATTATTACTTTAATAATTAAACTTAAAATGCATAATTAGATAATGCTTTTCTAATTGGATTTCAGATTGCCTGATTTAAATGTTAAATTTGAAATGGCTAGTTTTCTTTTTCAGTGACCCTCCATAATTAAAATGCAGAAAACGTAAAGAAAAATAATAAGCTGCCATGCATTCAATTCATTGCAAGAGTTCCCTTGTTTTGTTTTTGTCAGCATCACCTGTTGATGAACCTGTCACATTCCTGAACCCTTTCTCACTGCAGACCTCCTGGAAGAGAAAATATCGTACTTTAAGACTCCTATCATCAGCCCGGAAACCTTCTCATGCCTCTACAGTGCAAACTAATACTATCCATCTAGTGTTATATTGAAATCTGGCCGTTGTTGGGATCCAAACATCCCAGTCTGCTGCAGAGTCACCTGTTAACCTATCTGATTTATCCAAGGAACCCTGCCCTTGTCAGTCAGGAACAAGGAGCTGAAGAGCTGGACTCCTGTCCTATTTGCCGACTGGGAGCCCTTTGAACCAGTGAGAAAGTGATGTTTCCATGGAGATGAGGTTGGAGTATGTGGTGCTTCTCCGCTGATCTGGAACTGGCTAAAAACGATGTGAGAACTTCAAACCTTTTCATCCTCTTTCCTCCTTAGATCAGATAAAGATAGAACTGGCATAGAGTCAGAGATCTTTTCATTAAAGATTTTGTGAAAATCTAACAACATAAATCACCATTAAGTTTGGAACACTGAATAATAAATCACCTAAAAGCCCATGTATTATTTTACATCCGCTTCCATCAGTAGAACTAGATTTTAATGTCTAACTAATCTGTCATTTAGTAATTGCCGCTTGTGTTTTATTATTGATATTATTCGGCCCCAACCACTAAATAGGTGTAAATACATACTTTGATCAAAAATAAATTCACACTTTATGTTTGCTGCTCACCAAAGATTTGATCCTCATTCTTTGATTTCTGAAACTAAATCAAAATCCTGGTCTTTTTAAATGTCTGTTAATTGATTGTTTTCTGAGAAGGTCAGGAATTCATGTCAGACTCATAGATATATTGTTGAGTTAATTATTGAATACATGTCAACTATTGACTAATTAATTGTGTAGTAGCATATGATGCTAATATAATTAACATAATCCAAAAACGTTTTATTTTGGGCTTTTTCCACATTTTTCCACAATTTTTATGCCTTCCTTTTAGCCAAGGTTCCTTCATGACTAAACGTTTCCTGTCAACAGATTCTCCCACATGAGTTATTGATCCTCTATATCTACCAAGGGCCCTTTGGCTCCATTTCTCATTATTGCTCAACTTGTTTGTTGTTTTGCGATACTCTATTTTTGGATGATGGATCAAACACTTAACATGGTCAAAGCTTTGGATGTTGTCTTAAAAGGATGATACAGCTTTAAGTTTCCTCCTAACTTTATCCCAGACTTTTCCGCTGTGTTCAGTGGTCCTTGTGATGCTGTTCATTAACTAATGTTGTCTAACGATCCCTGGAGGCCTTCACAGAACGGCTGCATTTATCCTGAGATTAAGTTGAACTCTACTAATTGGGTGACATAAGAGAGCCTTGAGTCACAGTGGAGTTTATTTAGGGGTATCAAAGTAGACAGGACAATAACACAACATAGCTCTCAATTTTTAAACATTTTCTTACCCAATAATATGCTTTTCTTCTGGTGAATCACATTAAATATAATGAAAATACATTGGAGTTTGAGGCTGTAATGTGACAGAATGTGGAAGTGTGCAAAAGGGTGTGGATACTTTTTTTGGGATGAGTTGTTTTACGCAAAAGTTTTTGTTTTGTCACATAGTTGTTAAAACCCATAATGGAGGATCTCGCAGAGAAAGAGCACCGACACAAGATTCATTAAAGGCACTGTGGCTAAAAATAGAAATGAGAAAAACCAGTGAGACGTTATAGACGCAGTTTAGAAGACTGCAGACACACAAAACAACATTAAATTATTCCACTGACAGGATCTATTTTCTTGTACTGCCAGCAAATAAAGCTCTTATTTTAATTAACTATAGTTAGCACTGTTCAATAACACAGCAAAGGTACTTCTTAAATGTCAAGGGGAGAGAAGGACAATCCACAAATAAATTTGAGGCCTAACAACTTGTCTTTTTTAGGATCTCAATTGTTATCCGAGTCCCAAACCCTTTTTTCTTTCCTCTCATGACACAGAAATGTCACTCAATCATAGGCAGTCCAGCTCCATGTCAAAACAGGCTTCTGCTTGGTGACTCATTGCTAAATCCATCATCGTCGGCGGACATATGTTGCCTGTGGTATGAGAAGTGTCACTGGTGTCAGCGTGTAGCATTTTTGCTTGAGCGGGGGGACTTTTATACTCGTTTATCGGTCTGAAAGTACGCAACCAAATGGTCGTCTATATTTACAAGCATGAGACCATGGAACAAAAAAAAAAAAAAAACCTTCCAGGATTCGTCAAGGTTCATATCAGCTTGCTTTAAATTTCCGTCTCACATTATTGACATCTGCACGCCAGCGCATTGTTCGCATGCGGATGGAAAACTGGGAGATTTATTGCCATGCATGCTAGTCTTGTCATACAAGGCTCCAGTGCGATAGCCTTATCTGTCAGCGATGGGATTGGCCCTGAATAAGGTGAGTCACAAAGATACAAGGACAGAAGATGCTGGAGCAGAGAGAGTCTCACATCTCAGACAAAGGTCTGCTTTTTTAAACATACGTTGGTCAGAAATTCCCGGAGCTTGCTTACAGATGGTAAGGACAAGAGGACGTCAGAGATATGAAAGATTTATATAAGCTATTTATAGTCTGTCTACCCTTACATTTACAAGTGTGCACTGCTCTAAAGCTACAAGGCTTGTCTGAATTCTTGTAACTCCAGTCTGAAGCCACGAAGGAGTAATTTAATTAAAATGGTCTGACGATTAAATCGGAGAGCACTTTAAACCCTGGCAGCAGAATAAATCAATGAGTAACATCTGTCCAATTAATTAATTCAGAAGGTAAATGGTTCTTCCAATGTGGACTCAGATGCATCTGTAGGTGTGATTTGAAGAGAGCTACATGGAGGCTGATGTTTGTTAGTATCTAAACGTTGATATTTCAAGACATCCTTCCACCTCAAACAGGAGGACACAGCTTATAGTCGTCCCTCCTTACTCAGAAAAGGTCAAGCTAATCATCAAGGTGTTTTGAAACTTTTATCTCTAAGGACCTGTGAGCATCAAGATATAATGGATATTATATCTTATGGATATAAGATGATAGCCTGATGATATTTCAAGGAACACTGGTCCTCAAGGGCAAAGATAAGCCTGAAACAAAATGATGCTATTAAAGCAGATGAGATAGATCTAACATATGATGCAAGGACTCTCAAACGCAGTGCCGAGGTTAAGAGGTTGTGTAACAGGGGCGGGTGCTTACATAAGCTGTAGATGCAGCATAAGATAATTTTTTTAGTTTCATATCTATATATAAATGATTAAAAAATAAAGCACGTTTCTAAATAAAAATCTGATCTGATCTTTGTTTGCATTCTCTCCCAAATGGTAGAAATCTTGCCAACATTGCATCCAAGGTATATATATATATATATATGAAAAATACTCACCAATTGGTAATACCAGGAAGAACGGCAGCCAACACAACACAAAGCAGCCGACCACAATGCCCAGCGTCTTAGCGGCTTTCTTCTCACGTGAAAACTTTAGTAACCTCAAGGCAAAATGAGTGCGGCTGCGCAGCGACTCCTCCTCTAGTGCGGTGGTGTTTCCACGGTGGATCCTGAGAATCACCTGCTCCGAGTCCGACTTCTCCGTCTTCTGGCCCTCTTTGAGGCCCTGGCTCTCTCTGTGAGCTACAACATAAACCCGGCAGTACATCACCAGTATGATGGTCAGAGGGAGGTAGAAGGAGCCAACGGCTGAGAAAATGGCGTATCCTGGCTCCTCTGTGATCTTGCAGACGGAGTCGTCCTCTGGTGCCGGTTCTTTCCAACCGAACAACGGCCCGATGGATATGATGATAGAGAACACCCACAAGAGCATCACTGCCAACAGAGCCCTGCGCTTTGTCATAATAGAAGGGTAACGCAGAGGATAACTGACTCCAATATAACGATCCACAGAAATCACACAGAGGCTCATGATGGAGGCCGTGCAGCAGAGCACATCCACAGCTGCCCAAACGTTACAGAAAGCTCGTCCAAACACCCAGCGATCCAAAATCTCAAAAATGGCAGAAAAAGGCAGGACAGTGGAGCTCAGCATCAGGTCTGCCACGGCCAGATTAACAATGAAATAATGCGTGACCGTCCGCAGGTGTCGATGGCAAACCACAGATAGGATAACCAGGATGTTTCCGACCACTCCAAACAGGATGAACACACCAAGGACCATGCCTAAAACCACTGTCTTGACCATCTTGAGCTCTGGGATTAAAATCTGGCTGCAGTTGGTGCAGTTCTGGCTCAGAGAAGCTGGGGCCATGTTGTCCAGCACAGGACCCATCAACACCTAGATGGTGCTGATGCTGGACACAGTTCTGTAAAAACTTTAGCTTTCTAAAGAAAAAAGGGGCATCATTGAATTCCCGTGGAAGCTATTAGAGTAATGATCACATTAAGGCTTGTCAAAGCATAATTTAAATGATGTTGCTTCCAGCAAATGAGCCATTATCCCGCCAATGAATCAGGATGCTTCAAGAAACACTAAGAGAGGAGAGCAAGATATGCAAATGAAAGCTACTGTGCTGATATCAGGTAATCCATCTTGAAAATATTTGTGATGTTATTTTTGATACCATGCAGCTGGTGCCAAACACTGATTGAGAAGCATCACAGAAGTAGAAACAGTGGTGTACCATGCATCCTCTCTTGAAATATAAAAATGTCACTTTGGAGCCAAATCTTGAGTCTTTTGTTTTAAAAGATGGAAGGAGAATCCACTTCTCTGGGCAGAGTGGGAGGTGAGCAGCACTCAACAGACTGCCTCTTCCCATAAAACACAGGGGCATATTGAGCTTCAACGCACTCTGACAGCCTCCAGCGCCTGTGACAAGAGAGACAGAGAGCATGTTACACGGGCATCACAAACAGCAAAACAAAGCACAGAAAAAAAACAGCAAAACAAAGCAAAGAAAAAAAAACACCTATGTTTTTGCCCATTGTTTCAGGTTCGTAGTTTCCTTTTTCTTTTCCATATAGCTATTGCTCAGCCCTACTGAGTCTGTGGGTGACAAACGGTGTCTACAGTTAGTGTGAGAGCTGCATGAGGAGAGATATATCTTGCAGATTTAGAAACAAAATATGAAGTAAAGGAATGCGGAAAGCTACACTGGCATCATTTGAATAAAACAACTATTAGACAGATTGTGCAAAGTTGAACCAAAACTTAAAGGCAGAAAAAAATCCAGCAGCTCAATTGACACTTAGATGTGTAACTGCAGCAAATGCAGGATTGGCAGAATATTGACCTACGAGTGCTGAATAGAAATGAATCTCATAGTTCTCACTTTTTATTTATAGTATTAAAAAACTGCACTTCAACATTACACATTATTTTGTGTTGGATATCACATACAAGCTTGATCAAATACACTGAATTTAGCGGAGCTGAAATGATAACATGTAAAAATAAAGAAACATCAGGGGGTATGACTTTCGCTGCAAGGTAGTGGATGATCAAACTTCAAAGCTGCCTCTCTCTGTTAGTCACGCATTTCCAGTGAAATTTGATATATAAGAGTTGCTGATAAAAAGTTATTTTCTTTAATGTGAATTTAAGGCCCTTTGGTAAATTCCATGCTCTTTTGCAAGCAGATCATCAGGGTCCTATCTATCTATCTATCTATCTATCTATCTATCTATCTATCTATCTATCTATCTATCTATCTATCTATCTATCTAACTAACTATCTATCTATCTATCTGCTGAGGTGTTGAGCATGTCTGATTGATGTTCAGGTCACTTACAGTTAAGGTCTTTTTTCTTGCCTTCCTTGGAAAAAAAGCTCCATTGGATGGATGTCACAGCAAACCACCTTAAGCTCTCTCACCCACTCAAGTCAGAGAAGGAGTCTGGTAATAATGCCCATAAGGGATTTATGAGAGTTACATTTCCCTCTCTAAAAATGAAATCTGTGTGCACACGGTCTTGGACGATAAAGCTGATTTTATATTTCTTTATGTGGTGCTGGAAATATTAGGATCCCTCTGGTTGAAATATGCAGCATTTTCAAAGTGAGAGAAAATAAACAAGAAGCTTAAAAGGATAGATAATCCTACAGAAGAAAAACTAGTCTGTTACACTTCTTGGACTGTTTTGTAGATAAAAGTGAAAAATGCAACATGCTTTTGTATCTAGACTAGCCCATTGAGAACACATTTAAAAACCATTTTTACAGCAATTAGTTGGAAGCCTTTTGGGGATATACAGACTGGGTCCCCATCCCTGAATTTAGCCCTACCAACTAACGCTAAGCTACCCTGTCCTAAAAGAAAAGCGTTCCCACAGCATGATGCTTCCCTCCCTTGTGTCTCTTCTGACCAGACGACCCTCTTCCATGCATTGACTTATTTCTGGCTCCTACTTCTGCTTTCTTTCAAAATAGATTTCTTCCTTCCACTCTTTCATGATGCTAAACTTGTAGACCATACAACTTAAAGTAGGCATCTAGTCAACAGATTCCCCAGGCTGAGTTGTGGATCTCTGCAGCTCCTCCACAGTTACAATGGCCCCTATGGCTGTCGTAGGGTGTTTAATGTTTTCAAACCATCCTCGCAAAACAGCTGGATTTGTGGTAAAAACAATCAACTCTCACATAACAAAGTAAAAAATCTTGGTGTTATCTTTAATCAGGACCCGTCATTTAAATCCCATATCAAAGAGGTTTCTAAAATGTGCTTCTTTCATCTGCAGAATATTACAAAAATTAGAAATATCCTGTCCAGGGTTGATACTGAGAAACTAGTCCATGCATTTCTTACTTCAAGGCTGGACTATTGTAATTCTTTACTATAAGGAAGTCCACAAACTGCAGATAAAAGCTGCAGCCAGAGTTTTGATGAAATTTAAAAAGAGAGATCATATCTCTCCTATCCTGGCTTCTCTTCTTTGGCTTCCTGTTAAATCAAGAATAGAATTTTTAAAATCCTCCTTCTCACATATAAAGCCGTAAATGGCCAAGCTCTGTATCAGAGATCTGACTGTTCCTTATGTCCCTAACAGCAACCCAGTCTCATGGGAAAATGTACCCCCACTACGTTGGTCCACACTGCAAAACGTAGTGGAGGTACATTAATGGCCATTTTTTTGTGGTACTGTTACATTTCTTCTGCCTATACGCTTTCTATTGTTTTACGTCCTAGTCACGTGACTTTCAAGATTCCAGCTGGGAGAAGAAAAAAATATATATATGGCCGACATTCGCTCATTTTTTTGTGGAAAGATTAATGACTTGAGTTTGTTTTTGCATTAAAATGAGTTTTGATTACATTTCTAGTGAGAAATGTATAGTTTGTTGCCAGAATATTTACTCAGGGAATGTACATATTCACTTGCTTGTTCGTTTCTTGCAAAGATTTTTCAAGATAATGTGAAACTGTAACATTTTGGTATAAACATGGCTGAGATTTCTCTAACTTTTAGTGGGAAAATCAATAATTTCAATCAGTTTCTGCATTTAAATGGGTTTTGATTACAGAGCACTTTGCTCTGCGCTGCAGGTTTACTAGTGGTTCCTAGAATTTCAAAAAGTAGAATGGAAGGCAGATCTTTTAGTTATCACGCTCCTCTCCTGTGGAACCAATTACCAGTTTTAGTCCGTGAGGCAGACACCCTGTCTACTTTTAAGGCTAGGCTTAAAACTTTCCTTTTTGATAAAGCTTATAGTTAGAGTGGCTTAGGTTATCCTGAGTTTTTCCTCTCCACTGTCGCTACAAGCATGCTTAGTGTGAGGGATTACATCCGAGTCAATGAGTCGATGAAATCAACTGGTTTTCCTTAGATAGAAAACTTTGAATCAATTTGACTGGATGATCTGGTGAACTGTAAAGTGCCTTGAGATGACATGTGTTGTGAATTGGCACTATAAACCAAGGACGTAGGTTTGATTTCAACTTTGGTAGGGACACTATTCTTCAGTTTCATTGGTCCTTTGCAAAAATATGCATGCTCTTTTTTATGCTTAATGTGAGCTTCAGGGCTCATTTTGTTTAAAGAGAACAGCAGCATTTCTTGCTACATTAATACAAATCTTATAAGCACTACATGCACTAGATGCTGTTTATCAATATTTAAAGCATAACTTGCTCTGATGAATGTGGAATTAGGACTTTTTCCACTTTGAAAAGGATTGCATTTAAATTTACCTGCGACTAAGACAGTGTCTGTTTAACCAAATATAGTCTAAATATGTCTGTAATATGTGGATTTATCCTGTGTTTTCTTCTGAAGATATAGAATTGTGCAGAGGTAAACTGAGGTAAAACCCACTCTTTATTTTTTTTTCTAATATGCTTTTTCTGGATCATGCAAAATAATACATTCAAGGGACGGAAAATAAATGTATTGTATTTACATGTGCACTGGAACTAGAAGAGGAACTGACACTGAGCATTTAAAATATTAATATTAGAAGTTGTACATCTGGGCTGTAGTTACTCTGTATAGCTAATATCATGTATTTTATCTATGGCTGAAACAATTAATCATATTAACAAATTATTTAAATAATCGTGCACTAATTTAGTAATTGATTAATCGTTAACTAGAGTATAGGGCCACTTAAATGTGCCTTTAGCCGACAGAGTGACCCACTTAGAGCAGGAATTATACCAAGATTGTAAAAAAATATGTAAACATTTTGCATTTAGGAAGTAAAACATTTTTGTCTGTCAATATTCTGGATCAAGAATTCCTCCAAAGGAAACGTTTAAACGTTTCTGTTTTACCTGGTTTCATTTCATAAAAGATCTTCTTTGAGGAGCCTTTGGCTATCAGATTAAAAGATAAATTAAAAGAAATCCTAATGTTGTTAACTTACATTTCTCAAGTTCCTCAAATCAAAAAACTCTCTCCTGCTTCTTTCCAGAACTCCAATCAGAAGCTTTTGCCTGTTTTAGCGTAGATAATATTAAGTTTTTTAATTTGACTAGTTTCTTGGCCCAATATTAATTTATTTTAGTGTCTTTTTTTTCGCGCTCCAAGCACCCGCACCCGCACACATACAGACTAGAAAACACGCAATCAGAAAGAGAGAAGGCGGAACTTAAGGCAGAATAATCAGAGTTAAACCGCGCAGCACAGTTGATGCGCTGCTATGTGAAAGGGACAGGAAAGAGCAGGCAGCTGCAGCTACCAGGCAGAGAAGCTGCGAGAGGAAAAGAAGCGGCTGCTGTATAGTAAATTATAAACATGTTGTTCACTTCCGATTATTGGTAGGGACAAATAGGTCCGTCCAAAATTTTGGTAGGGACATGTCCCTATGGTCCCTATGCAAACCTACGCCCATGCTATAAACTATATATAAACTGAATTGAATTGAACTCAGAAAGCCAAATTTGATTTAATTCATATGACTCTGTGTGTAGTTAATTGAACACAAATATAAAAAGTTTGTAGTGAATGCAGGTTTAGTGTTTCACTCAAAACTTAAAAAGAGAGCAACAAAAAGGTCAAACTGACTGATGGCAATTATTTTGCTGTTTTGACTTGATTTGTATCTTGGGCTTGTATTTTTATTGATTCTCAGTGTGTTAATATCCAGAAGAACCAACACCTATAGGGGGTTGCTGAGTGAAAGGGCATGCATGCTGGGTGCCTCCCACCAGAGAAAGGCTCCATGTTGCAATAGCTGTATAACACCTGTCTTTTAAGGGAATAGAAAAAACATTATTTCTTTGGTCCTCTTCCAATGCAGGGCCATCTACAGGTATAACGCTCCATTTGGCTGCTTTCCAGTTAGAGACACAACAACATGTTGAGGTGGTGGACAGCTGGGCTGAGCCTCTCCACAGCGCCGTTCCCTATATAGTTATTTTATTTGGTCAGAGGTAAAAAGGCATTCTGGCACAGATGTAATCTCAATTTCTTCACCGCTTTGCGCCGGAAAATCCCAGCTCTATAAGAAGCCTCCTATACCTGCCAGAAAGTTCATTTCTGGCGCAATAAAATGACAATTGGACAGAGATGGAGCTCTCACTCAGACAATTTCTCCATAAGCCGACTGAAAATGTTTCTATGATAATTGATATCAAATCAAAAACATTCATATTTCTAAATGTCTTTAGAAACTAAATTTAAATAAAAAGAAATGTGGCACAGAGACACTCCCTTTTATTAAGAGAGACGAGGTCTGAATTTGGATCAACGGCGCGCAACAACTTCAGATGCACTTCAATCATTTGTGACAAGTATAATCTAATACCTTTAGATACTTTTATGATTAACTGCAATTATAGTGTAAATATAATCTCTAAACAATGGTATTAACAGCCACTGCAGCACAAGTGCGGTTAAAAGGTAGGACAGAGAAAAAAGGCAAAGTTACGCACAAGGAATAGTTCTCAGATATTTAAAATTAACATCTCTGTGACTCACCTAACTTTCAGTGTCTTCCTGCATCCCGATGGCTGGTGCGCTGATCGGGTCGGATCCCGCTCTGATTGCTGAGTCGCGCTGGGAGGCGGCTGGCGGAGCGCCAATGTGCGCTCATAACGGAGCGCGCTCACATCTGCCAAGCCAAGCGCAGGTGCTAGGAGACTCCTCAGATGATGATGAGCAAAAAAAATCACTCACTGCTCTCTTGAGTTATTTTTTCTCTCCCCCCCACCCCCAAAAAAGGCTGTCCCACCCCCACCCCCCCCACCATCATCCTCATATCACCTCATCTCGGCTCAGCATCACTCCCTGTGCGTCATCGCATCCAGTCACTGTCGACCCCGCACGACTTTCCAAGCGGTCGTCACTCACCTTGACAACTGTCAAACTGCAGAACTAAACAAAAAAACAATTGTCCTGTCTTCTGACATTGGATGTAATCATATATTCCTAGGTTTACATTTATTTCAAATGTCTTCTTCAAATAATACAGGCTGAAGAGCTGATGAAAAGCTTATTTCTTTTCACTTGTGACACTTTTTACTTTTTTTCATGACACTGCAATAAACCATTGATATGTTCAGCAGGAAATAAAAACATAAAATATTCCCTTTTCTTTCTTACTTCCACAAAGTTTCCAGTTGTAACACTGCATGTTTAAAATAAATAATTCTAAAAGTTTATTAAATACTCTATGGTATATATGACTAGGAAACAAAATTATTCCTGAAATTTAAATGTATGGTCTCTGACTTTTAAACCCATTTGGAGCAACTACTTGTCAAAATAAACTTTTCTGCCAATAGATTTCTTGCTGATTTGTTTGCTGAGGTTTGTTTTTACAAAACTTACTAAAAAATAATCTTATTGTGTTAACCCCAAACCTTTTCAGAAATCCTCATGTCCCTTGGATATTATAGCTGTCGTGATCATCAAATTTTATTTGACCAAATAAACAGTGTGCATATTTGAGAATGAAAGGAGACCTATATTTAAAAAAAATACTAAAAAGAAAAAAAAAGAAAGCCATTTGAAATTTGGAGCTTGGCAATGTTGGAGAAAACAGACATGTAACTGCACTTCACGCTAAATGCAAAATCCCTGTGTTGATATATGAGGGTGGTATCAGTATGGTTGCGTTGATGCTTTTTATCAGTAGGAACCATGGAAGCTGGGTTAAAGTTGATTGGAAAGGGAATAAAGCGAAATACAGAATGATCCTACAGAAGACCTGTTACATCCTGCAACAGAGTCGTGACCAGAGGGAGGAGGCTCATTTTCCAGCAATAAAACAACAAACAGCAGAGCTACAGTTAACAGCCTCAGTCAAATCTTCTTTCACTTTTAAAATCTTCCAGTCAAATGCAGGCCGATTATTATTATATGTATGTATCATAAATGAAGAATTAATGTTCACACACATGCTTCATAAACTGGGATAGACACTGATTTGCTGCTCTAGTCTCAAAAAGAGGAGGTTATATATAGTTGCTCTACACTGAATATAAAACAATGACACATTGTTCTTATTTTTATCTATGAAAGAATAATCAAAGACTTTTCACATTACTTTCCCATTCAGCAATTATTTGCTTTTATTACTTATTTCCAGACTCCATATTTCAGTCATATCTAGATTAATTACCATTGTATCCCTTTTTCTTAAATCCATCTAATAAACATTGCAAATTATGGTAAAGTGAGTTGATAATTGAATTAACATCTATGAATATAATATCTATTCCCATTCAGCAAAAAAAAAAAAATACCATAAAAGAATTATGAAAGCATTCATCTTCTTTACTTCTACAACCTACCTGACATCTGTTCTGTATACACTAGATACATAAGTCAGTGCAATTAACATGTGAAAATTTCAGTTAGTTCTTAATTATCCACAATTTTTTTCAAGCATGCTCCATGTTTCATCCCATTAAAAAGGAAGGGAAACAAATCACTATGAATAAAAAATGTACAAAGATTTTTTAGAGGAGGTAGTCACTTTTCTTCCACACTCTGGTCAATACCGCAGTTCAGCCAGACAGCATTTATCGTTTTTCATGAAAATGTAGAGTTCACCCGAGCAGCAGCCTGCTTAGACAGATGTTCAGTCCGTCTGTGAAGTAAACTGACCACTTAAAGAGCTGCTTCAGCACTCAATCAATGACCAGACTTTCATCTTACAATGCTTGCCTTTTTTTTTTGCCCACCGGAGGTTCTGTGGAAAAAAAAAAAGTCGACTTCTTCATGTTAAAAGCAAAAATCACGAGCACAGCTTCCTACTCTCTGAAGGCACAAACCCAGCAGAAGGCACAGGAGGATATAATTGGACGTCCCTGTTATGTATGCACAATAAATTGATTATTTCATCAAATCAAATATGAGAAATGGAGCCGCTTTCAGAATTGACAAACAATTTTCACAGCAATTTGGGTTAGAACTGTCATTACCTTTGAGGAGATTACCTCTATCTTTGTCCATGCATACGTGGCGCTGGAGGAGAGATCAGGGGGAAAAATTCACTATTAACACAACAAAAGTTGAGCAATTATGTCATGGATTGAAACAACCAATGGTTCTCATCTGCTTGCTGAGCTTGTTAATTTCTGGTCTGTGTGTTGCAAAAGTAATTAAAGCAGTCTGACTCGCCCATTCACTGAGGGGAACTGCAGGGTATGAAACATACTGAGATCAATATCTCTGCACAGGAATACACATTAACCATCACAGGGGTGACAACCCTGAGCCAAGCATTCACAGTAATGTTGGCATTTACAGTGACATTCAGTCTAATTGCATATCAAGAGAGTTGCCTTTCAGCAGTCCCGACTCGGATAAAATTCTGATAAGAGTTCAGATTTCAGCAGGTAAATAAAGACAGCTAACATCCTCCTGCAGCTGATGCAAAAATCCCCTCCTTTCATTCAGATGCATTTGTCATTGAAGCTCTTGCTTCCTGCGTCAATGTTGTCATCCTTTCCTTTCAATATCCCAGCTATACTGTGCCTGCTTTTGTTTAATTCATGAGCTTAAGGCTAAAAAACAGAGTTTTTCATTATGGTAAAAATCTGATATTTCCGTCATCACTCAGATGAGGCTCTGCAGGGTGGGTTTCAGCAGTCAGCCGTCCTCCTACACACAGATCGACTCCATCCTTGCACCTGAAACGACTGAAAGCATCAGAGTTAACATAGTGGATTGGAAGAGTCATGACTGTGCCGTGCAGCAGCTACCTGGTATGAGCGTCAACACATCACTGTCTGGCACCAGCTTGCTGGATTTGGAGCCAAGTGCCTTCATTCTCTGATTAAATCAAAACTGACAAACTTTTTCCTAATTAATTTTTCTCGATCATCTCCAGGACTCCGATATGGTTATACATTCACATAGAGCCATCTCAGACCCTGTTTCCTCTCTCTAAGGCAAAGGGATAGTCATTAAAAGGGATTTTGCTACATCAGTGGTTAATATGATGTTCTCATTAGCTAGGTGATTAAATCTGGGAAGAAGAGCTTCACATTTATCTTATCTCTCTAAGAAAGTGCATTAATAAAGTGGAAAGTGAGATTGAATGTAAATGGCTTAGCTTTTTATTATGCTATTATGCAGCCATGTTTGTAATGCTGCATTAGAACGTTTTTTTTTTTTTTCTTTTTTTAGGCACACAAGCTTAGATTAAATTATCATTAAATCAGTGCAGGTTCAATATATATATATATATATATATATATATATATATATATATATATATATATATATATATATATATATATATATATATATATATATATATATATATATATATATAAAATATATATAATATATATATATATATATATATATATATATATATATATATATATATATATATATATATATATATATATATATATATATATACAGTACAGTTATGTGAAAAAATCTATAGTCTTATCAATTTCAATAATACTACAAATTTCATGTAGTATACTTAAAATACTTAAAAATTTATTTTCTTACTGAAAATATATTTTTATATTTTCAAAGGTCAAAGGAGGACCTTTGACCTGAGATATGCAGTTTGCCATTTTCTTGACTGGAAATGAAACCAGACACTATGGTGAGATTAGAATAGTGATTTGAAACCAGAAGACTGTATGGAGCCTGTGTGACTGAATTTAAAAGAATTTGGTATCTGCCATATCTCTAGATTAAAAACAGTTTACAGTGAAGGACATTCAAAACAACTGGCAACATCTGGCATCAAAGCAGGTCCACCCTGAAATCCGTCCACAAGACACTAGAAGAAATTCCCCTAAAAGGATTTGAGCTGCAAGTTTATTCATATAATATATTTCAGTAGCGTTTCAAATGTTGCACATGAGAATAAAAGAAAAATTATAACAGTGGCATAAAGTTAACATGGTCTTATAAATCTAATGAAAATGAATAATTATGTAAGATAAAAAGAAGAAAATAAAGAAAAAGATTGTAATCTTTATACACAGGGATTTTTAGGTGCAGCTAAGGGCCAGGGGGGGTCTGGTTTGGGGGCCAGCGGATTTTGTCCCAGCTTCCTGCAGGGTCCCTGCTGCCGAGGCCTACAGCATGCACTGGGAGGGTTCTTAGCCGAGTGTGAAGTGACTGGGATGACAATCAGGTCCTCCAAGTCCACAGCCACGGTTCTTGACTGGAAACAGGTGACTTGTCTCCTTTAGGTTGGAGTAGAGTTCCTACCTCAAGTGAAGAAGTTCCAGTTTCTTGGAGTACTTTTCACAAATAAGGGGAGAATGGAGCAGAAGCTTGAAAGACGGATCAGAGGTGCTGCTGCTGCTATAATGCGGATGTTGCACCAGTCTATTGTGGTGAAGAGAAAGCTGAGCGATAGACAAAGTCTTAGAAATATAACATATCAAGACCTGAGGGAGTGCATAAGGTTCTTGTCGCACAAATCAACATTTCCAGCGTGGGGGAATTTTGCAGCTGCTTACAAAGGCAACTAAAAGCCTCCTGGAGAGTTTTTTATATTCATATGACACAAAGATTGAGCTGTTTTGCCTCTATAGAGACGAGAAGGACTGTAGAAACTAAAAACAATGCTTTCAAACCTGTGAACACTTTATAGACAGTCAAGCATGGTGGTGGCAGCATCATTCTTAGAGTCTGTCACTGTATTAGAGCAGTTCTCAAGAAGTTCTTAGTTCCTAGTTCTTCAA